GCCGTTGGTTCACCCTCCAATGGCCGCCATGGCCGGCGCACTGTGGCCGGCGCACCATGCTGATCCGATGGCAGGAGCCAGGTACTTCTCCTGGTCTCCCATGGGGTGCAGGGCCCAAGCACTTGGGCCATCCTCCACTGCACTCCCGGGCCTCAGCAGAGAGCTGGCCTGGAAGAGGGGCAACCGGGACAGAATCCAGCGCCCCGTCCAGGACTAGAACCTGGTGTACCAGTGCCGCAAGGCGGAGGATTAGTCTAGTGAGCCGCAGCGCCGGCCAAATAGTTACTTTTAAAGTTTATTTTGGTGCAAAAAAACAAAAAAATTGAAATCCATGCATACTTTTTTTCATAATATGCATTTCCACCAGCCCCCACCCCACCCCTTTTTAAAAATTTGTTTTATTTGAAAGTCAGAGAAAGTGGAGGAGACAGAAAGAGATCTTCCATCCGCTGGTTCACTCCCCAAAAGGCCACAACGGCCAGGGCTAGGCCAGGATGAAGTCAGGGGTTTCATCCAAGTCTCCCAAGTGGGTGGCAGGGGCCCAGGCATTTGAGCCATTTTCCGATGCTTTCCCAGGTGCATTAGCAGGGAAACAGATTGGAAATTGAGCAGCCAGGACCCAAACTGGTAGCCATATGGGATGCTGGTGTGGCAGGTGGGTGGTGGCTTCACCCAGTATACCACAATACCAGCCCCTCCACCAAACTTTTTTTTTCTTAATTAATTTATTTGGAAGGCAGAGTTACAAAGAGGAGGATATGCAGAGAGGTCGGGTCTTCAATCTGCTGGTTCAGTCCCTAATTGGCCGGTCAGAGCTGCACTGATCTGAAGCCAGGAACCAGGAGCTTCTTCCAGGTCTCCCACATGGGTGCAGGGGCCCAAGGACCTGGGCCATCTTCCACTACTTTCCCAGGCCATAGCAGAGAGCTGGATCAGAACTGGAACAGCCGGGACTTGAACTGGCGCCCATATAAGATGCCAGCACTGCAGGCAGAGACTTTATCCGCTACACCACAGCACCAGCCCCTCTAGCAACTTTTTGAAGACGACTTCATGTATAGAGTTCTATATTTTTTTTGGCAGCCAAATGAATTTACCTTTTAATACCATTTTCCCATGAACTTTTTTTTCTAACTGGGAGTGGGCCCAAGTCTCGGACCCAGGCACTCAGATATAGGATGTGAACATCTCAACCACTAAGCGAAATGTCTGTCCACCGTGAACTTTGTGACGTGACCTCATCTCGTGTTTGTTTTCATGCACTCCTCAAGGTGGTCGGGGAGCCAGCAGCTGAGACAAGACCTGCCGTTGGCTGGGTTTGTCTCCCACGGGAAGGTGTGCCCTGAACCTCAACAAGGCAGGTGCTGTGGTGTAGTAGATTAAGCATCTGCCTGTGGTGCCAGCATCCCATATGGCTGCTGGTTTGAGTCCCAGCCACTCCACTTCTGATCCAGCTCCCTGCCGATGGCCTGGGAAAGCAGAAAATGGCCCAAGTGCTTGGGACCCAGCACCCATTGGGAGACCCGGAAGAAGCTCCTGGATCCTGGCTTCAGCTCCAGCCACTGTGGGGCTGAATGGAATAAAGACCTCTCTGTGTCTGTAACTCTGCCTCTCAAGTAAATAAATAAATCTTTAAAAAAGTTAAAAAAAAAAAAAGACTAGAAAGCTATATAATAAAAAATATTAAGTGTGATTTCTTGGATATGGGTTTAAGATTTTTCTTTCTGCTTATTATAGTTTTCAATTTTTAGCGATTTTTATTTAAATAAATTTTTTAAACCTTATTTATTTATTTATTTATTTATTTATTTATTTTGACAGGCAGAGTGGACAGTGAGAGAGACAGAGAGAAAGGTATTTAAATAAATTTTGAGTTTTATTAATAAAAAATTGCAAAGATAGTATAGATTTCCTCTATACCCATAGTTTATCTTGATGTCATATTGGGATTCACTTATCACAGTTGAGACCATATTGATCTATTATAACTAAAGTCCTCAATTCTTAGCTGATGTCCTTTTGCTGTTCCAGGATCCCATTTGGAACAGAAATATGTTTAGTCATTATCACAAAAATCATTTATTTATTTAGTTAGTTATTTGAAAGATGGGGTGGAAGGGGAAGGGAGGAGAAGGGAGGGGGAGGGTCGAGGGAGGAGGAGAGGGGGAGGGGGAGGGGAAGAGGGAGGGGGAGAGGCAGAGGCAGAGGGAGAATCTTCCAGCAGCTGGTTTACTCCACAAGCAGCTACCACAGCCAGGCCAGAATCAGGAGTCAGGAGCTGCTCCAGGTCTCCCACCTGGATGGCAGCCCGTCTTCTGCTCCATCGCGGGCACATCAGCAGGAGGAGGAGGAGCTGGGACTGAAACGGCACGCTCTACGGACGCCCGCATCACAGGCTGCAGCTGAGCCTGCCGCACCAGAATGCCAGCCCAACAAACTACTTGCAGGATACTGAGAGTCTTCACCGTGGCAAGAGGCCTTCTTAATCTAGTCTAGTGCACACGAAATTTGGCTCGTGAAGTCTGGCTACTTTGGATTATAACCATGAATAAAATAATTTGGTTTCTCTACTCTGGACATGGTTTGATATCCTTAACCTCAAAAGTGCTGTACATAGAAAGTCTTAAGAAGCCAAATTTGAAAGAAGGGTTTAAGCAGTAGGTATAGATGGTGGTTTGCCTTCATGGAAAGTCTAGACTCAAAACTAAGCTGCCTTTCCGGCCACATCTCAAGGTCACCACTTCAGAGGACAAGATGGTCTGGATGGATGTGACTACCTCGACCAAAGGGCAAATGAAAAACACCAGGATCTCCTGGTTCCTAAATTAAACTATGAGCCTGGGGAAGTGGAGTGAGTGCCAGGCATCTGCCGACAGCCGAACAGAAAGCTGGGTGCCCAGGGCCTGGCCAGACCTTAATGTCTGGGTGGTTCTGATCCCAGTCTGAATCACTGGCTGAATGTGAATTCAATCCAATTTAAAGAAGGCACAAGTGTTCTCTTCTAGCCAACCAGCAACTCCACTGAATGCCCCTAATTAAAACGTTACAGCGGAAAGTAACATTAGATCACAAAGTGGCATTTAAGCATGCAATCACAAGCCTGTAAATAGAAAAACAAAGGGGCGTGGGAAAGGAGTCAGATGCGCAAACAGCCAGGAAGAAAAACAGGCCCAACCTCCAACCACAGGGGCAGAGGGCCTGCAGAACAGCCCCAACGAGAACGGCACCTTGTTTCCTTATTTCCGGAGGAGACCCAGTAGCCGCCATCCGTGCCATCTGCTATCCTGGGTCTGGCACTGCTGTGACACACCGACGGCTGCCTCCTCTGAACAGCCCAGACCAGAGGCAAGCGCAGGAAACACTTGCTCAAACATCCCTTTGGAGCGTTCTACGCATGTTAGCAGTGGGAGTGACCTTTCTGAACAGCACGCGGGTCTATGCCATCGATGTCTGCCCCTGGACTGCTGCATGAGACAGGTTTCAACGTCTGTGATCAACAAAAGCTGTGTTCATGTTCACGTGCAAAGTCAGAGCTCCGCAACCCCAGTGCTCTCCTTCCACGTGGGACTCGTGGCTGGGCCTTCTCTGGCTCCAGCACGCAGCTGTAAATCCAGGTAACACGGATGAAGATGGTTAGATGCCCTGAATAAGCCATACACCCAATTAATGTTCCCCTGACATACAAGCCTTATCAAAAGACGGCAGGAGGCGGGGCACAACCGGAGCTGAGCAAGCCCGATGATTTCATCACTTTTTTTTTTTTTTTTGCAGTATTGTGGTTACAAATTTTCATTACTTATTCAGCCAAATATAACTGAAATAGTTATCTGACCCTCCTGAATCACTGGATCTAGGCTATTCTGTTAGACGTAAACCCAATTCACCATCAGGAGAGAACCAGGGATTCACAACAGAACATGTGATGAGGCTGGCACTGTGATGCCAGCTTCCCATATACACGCAGTTCAAGTCCCAGCTACCTCATTTCCTTTATTTTTATTTTATTTGACAGTAGTTACAGTGAGAGAGACACAGAAAGGCCTTCTATCCACCGGTTTACTACCCAAATGGCAACAACAGCCGGAACTGGGCCGATCCAAAACCAGGAGCTTCCTCCAGGTCTCCCATGTGGGTGCAGGGGCCCAGGGACTTGGCCATCTTCTAGTGCTTTCCCAGGCCACAGCAGAGGCTGTGGCTCCTCAGAAGAGCAGCCAGGACCAGAACAGGTCTCCATATGGGATGCCAGCGCTGGGAGATTAACCTACCGCGCCACTGCGCCAGCCCTGAGCCGTCCCCACTTCTGATCCAGCTCCCTGGTCATGGCCTGGGGAAATCAGTGAAAGATGGCCCAAGTACTTGGACCCCTGCATCCACATGCAAGCTCCGGGCTCCTTCCTCACTGTCGTGGCCATCTGGGGAGTGAACCAACGTATGGAAGATCTCTCCTGTCTCTCCCTCTCCCACCATAACTCTTTCAAATAAATAAGTCTTAAAAAAAAAAAAAAATTGAACACATTAAAGGATCATGGAGGCCAGCTCTGTGGCTCAGTGGGTTAAAGCCCTGGCCTGCAGTGCCGGCATCCCATAGGGGCACCGGTTCGAGTCCTGGTTGCTCCACTTCCAACCCAGCTCCCTGCTGGCATGCCCAGGAAGGCAGCAGAGAGGATTGTTCAAGTGCTTGGGTCCCCACACTTACATGGGAGACCTAGAAGCTCCTGGCTCCAGATTGGGCTCAGCACAGCTCCAGCCACTAGGGCCACTTGGGGAGTGAACCAGTGGATTCTCTTGTCTCTACCTCTCTTTTTAACTCTTTCAAATAAATCTTTAAAAAAAAAAAAGAAAAATATTATGGACAGTCTCCAGCTTAAAATGGTTCAAATTAAGGTTTCTCAACTTCAGAGTGGTGTGAGTGTGCTCAAGTAACCATGCTGTTTTTCACTTTCAGGTCAGGATTTAATGCACTACATGAACTACTAGACACTTAAACACACGAACACACACACATTTTCAAGGTTTATTTTATTTGAAAGGCAGTTAGACAGTGAGAGAGCGAGAGAGAGAAGTCATCCATCTGCTGGTTCACTCCCCAAATGGCTGTATCAGCTGGGGCTGGGCCAGGCTGAAGCCAGGAGCCAGGAGCTTCTTTTGGGTCTCCTGTGGGTGTAGGAACCCAAACACGTGGGCCATCTGCTGCTGCTTTTCCCAGGCCACGAGCAGGGAGCTGGATAAGCTGGAGCGGCCGGGACTTGAACCAGCACCCAGTGCAGGTGGCGGCCCCTGGACACTCCATTACAGCACAGGCTGTTAGGTGACTGCCCAACTACAGCCCATCAATGCTTAGAGCATTCATTATGCCAGTTGGTGTTGCTGTAAAGAAGAGAGTCGGCACAGCACTGTTTCTGGGCTATAACCTTGAGAAACGTAGAAGCGCCGGGAAGCACTGGATTAACTTCAGCTACTGGTTCTCGAAGGAAAACAAGGCACTACAGACACCGTTTTCATGTCCCGGCATTAGAGTTCTCAAAGCCAGCAACGACTTCTCATTTACTTCTCTCCAGCTCTACAGACTCAGTTCTGCTTTCTCCTTCATCACACTTCCATATGGCTTTAACAGGGGATGCACCTCCTCCTCCAGGAACCTCTGTACCTGCAAAGGGGAAAGAAGGGTAAGAGAGTGGAAATGTGGGCGCCAGCTTTCCCGCTGCCGGCGGGCCCCACCGAGACCCCCGATCCAGGGTCACTCCAGCACTGAGCCTCTCTCTTCCGCTAGTCTGTCACAAGGCTCTCCCCGACACACCAAGCCCACCCTCACCATTCTGCCCTCGCACCAGCCCAGCCCGCGTTCTCTCCGCCTCACCGCTGCCTCCCAGTCAGGCCAGCTCAGATCGTCATGGCGCCTTCCTTCCCCGCTCCCCAGCCCACAGCCAGCTCCAGGGATGGCCTCCTTTCCCTCGGCTGGCACCACCCACTGCAGCAGCCCCCTTACTGGTCTCCCTAAGCCCCAGTTCTTTCTCCAAGCAGACTATTACATTAACAGGAAAGCCATCTGAATATCCAAGACAACTGCACCTGCAAACCCTGTGACACCCGCTGCTCTGCAAACACTCGGCGTTCAAGGCCTTAGCTGCTCTCTCCTCTCAGCCCGGCGTCCCCAGGCTAACTCCTTGCAAGCTCACACGAGACGTCTCCCTGGTCTTTCCTCTGCTCCATGGGGATGTCTCCAACTGTGTGATTCCCTAAATCCCTGCATGGACTTAACCACCTATTTATCAAGTTTGCTTTCCATCTTTAAATCCTCCAAACCAAACACATATTGAGCACCTGGTATATATTTGACACATGTTTTTGTTTTTGTTTCTTTTCTGACAGGCAGAGTGGACAGTGAGAGAGAGAGAGACAGAGAGAAAGGTATTCCTTTGCCGTTGGTTCACCCTCCAATGGCCGCCGCGGCCAGCGCACTGCGGCCGGCGCACCGTGCTGATCTGAAGCCAGGAGCCAGGTACTTATCCTGGTCTCCCATGTGGTGCAGGGCCCAAGCACTTGGGCCATCCTCCACTGCACTCCCTGGCCACAGCAGAGAGCTGGCCTGGAAGAGGGGCAACCGGGACAGAATCCGGCGCCCCGACCGGGACTAGAACCCGGTGTGCCGGCGCCGCAAGGCGGAGGATTAGCCTAGTGAGCCGCGGCGCCGGCCTTGACACATGTTTTTGAATTAATTCCTCTGGACTTTCCCAAAAGATAAGGAAAATGACAACACTAAGTATCTGTTACGCAGCAAGGACCACAGGAGGAGTTCCAGGCCCTACACCAACATCATGTATTTTTTTCCCTATCAGCCAACAGACAACAGAAGACTGAATAGAGACCCCACCTGAGAGTAAACACTTTTCCTCCTGGGACAGGCGTTGTGGCGCAGCAGGCTTGAGAGCCCGCATCCCACAGCAGAGCACCAGTCCAGCCTGGCCCTCCAGTGCAGTCCAGCTTCCTGCCAGTGCACCCTGGGAGGCAGCAGGCAACAGCTCAAGTAGTTGGGTCCCTGCCACCCACGTGGGAGACCTGGACTGAGTTCAGAGCTCCTGGATTTGGCCTGACTCAGCCCCATCTATTGGGACATTTGGGGGTTGTGAACCATTCAGTAGATGAAAGATATCTACCACTCTTTCAAATAAATCAACATTTAAAAAAATTCCATTTCTTTAACTAACTTGAAAGTCAGAGAGAGACAGAGAGACAGACACTCCTATCTGCTGGTTTTTTCCAATGCCCACAGAAGCTGGGGCTGGGCAGAGCTCCAGCCAGGTCTCCCACATGGGCAGGGCCCCAACCACCTGCTGTCTCCCACAGTGTGCGCGAGCAGGAAGCTGGAGTCGGGAGCGGAGCCAGGCCTGGCACCAGGCGCTCTGCCCACATCTCACCACACGCTTGAGACCAAGAGAACTGTGAGAAGTCTACAGGGGAAATACTTAAGGATCTCTCAAAATCACCCAATCTTTCCACTTCTGCCAGTGGGTTCCTAACTAGCCACACTCACACGTAAGACAGCGTCTGAGGTCTCGCAGCTCAGCAGCGTGGAAAGAGGACAGCTGGAGCAGCCTCTGCAAGGGCGCCGAGGTCACTCACCTGCTGGGATGCACGCCCAGTGAAAGAAGAAGGATCCAGCAGATGCTCCAGCTGGGAATGTATGGGGCTGAAGTAGGCATCGGCCCGGATCCGCTCTATGAGGTCGTTATCGCCCCCTTCCTGCTTGACCACCGCGGCCGCCTGCTGGGAAAGCACGCGGATTTTCTCATGGCAATCCTGGGAAGAGAGCAAAGCAGTGGCGCTTCACCAAGGGCGCCTGAGTGTCCTGGAAGTCAGCCGACCCCACCAGGACCTCCACCCCGTCTACGCCCACGCCACGGTGGCGCTCTCTGAAGCCTCGTGAGTCACTGACCCCATTTCCTGCACTCCCATCAGCTCTCATGAAAATTCAGACACACTTCCTTCGCCAAGGGTGAACTCTGCCCCCAGGCGAGTGATTCACTTTTAATAACTGAGTTCACACGGCGACCTCAGAGATGGCAGTGTATGGCAGGCAGGAAGTGCCTCGTTCACTACTCTGCATACAGCGAGACAGCAGGGCTGCAGGGGCTTGGGTTACACACCTGGCGGCTGCCCCCAGCTTTGACCATGGCCATGATGATGTTCTCTGTGGCCATGAAAGGCAGCTCCTGTCGAATGCGCCGTTCGATCACCTAGAAGCAAAGACTAAGTGAGGGCCAGGAAAGATGGCTCTAAGGTTACAAAGGCGGACGCGCAGCAAGATGCCGTGTCCGGCAAGCTAGGCAGCAGGGACGCGAGCTACTGCAGCCAGGGCGAGCAGCAACGTTGTTTTCATTCTATGCGGTGTTTTTCCATTTTCTTACTAACCCAGAGATTCATTTTGATTAAAAAAAAGAGGAATATTGGGACTGGCGCCGTGGCCTGGCGGCTCCTCTTCCAATCCAGCTCTCTGCTTATGGCTTGGGAAAGCAGTAGAAGATGGCCCAAGCGTTTGGGCCCCACCCCTGCACCCAACTGGGAGACCTGGAAGAAGCTCCTGGCTCCTGGCTTTGGATCGGCACAGCTCTGGCCGTTGAAGCCATTTGGGGAGTGAACCAGCGGATGGAAGACCTCTCTCTCTCTCTGCCTCTCAGTCTGTAACTCTACTTCTCAAATAAATAAAATATATATATTTTTTTTTAAAAAAAGGAGGAAGATTGATTTAAGTAAACTTTTAGAAGCAGCTTCGTAGAAATGATTCCTAAGACCTCAAGTTTACTAAGTTTCGGTGCCCGGCTTCCGGAGCTAAGTATTTAGGAAACCAACCCGCCTGCCTCAGGCAAACGGAGACACCTACTCTGCCTGGTCACAGCAGAGCTGGTGATCCGTGCTGCCAGACATCTTGGGACAAGTCAGGTACCTTTCTTTCTTTTTTTTTTTTTAAAACTTTTATTTTAATGAATATAAATTTCCAAAGTACAGCTTATGGATTACAATGGCTTCCCCCCCATAACATCCCTCCCACCCGCAACCCTCCCCTGTCAGGTACCTTCCTTTCCCTCTCAACCTGTCTAGGAACCCCAGAGAGCTAAGCTCATGAGCACGGGGTGAGCTTAGCCGGGAAGGGCTCCCCGCAAGCGGAGCAGGCCCGCCATGTGCCCCAGAGCACGCTTCCCCATGTCCCAACCCCTCCCGCACACTTCACTTCATTAGGCCTCTTACTTTGGGGTATACCACCAAGCCTTCAGAGATATTCTGCAGCGTGATCAACAGCGTATCTGCGGTGAGAAAGGCCTCGGCCAAACAGATGCGTCTGCAGAGCAAACAGCCACGAAGCACACTCTCAGAGCAGCGTACAGTGTGTCCCAGCAGGCTGCTCCACGCCCATCTCGCTCCTGCAGCTGCCCCAAGGCCTCACGACCCCACTTACCACCTCTGGTCCAGTGCTTGCCCGCGCACCAGGCCTCGCCTGGCTGATCCCCAACCCCAAGTGCACTCAGCCATTTTCCCAGAGCCTCCCACTCACTGACAAACACGCGCTCTCGCACGCAACTGCGCTCTCACAGCCCTTCCCTCAGTGGACGGCACCAGCACCCATCACTCACTGCCATCAGCCACGAAGGCTGCCTACCGTGCCTTCAACTCTCTCCACTCACACGGCCACCGCGCCAGCGTGGACTAGGACTTCCACAGTCAACTCCTCGCTTGCTCTGCCCAGATCCATGCCCCCTACAAGCGAGCCTTCACACTGTCCCCAGCGTGCTTTAGCAGGTGAAGTGGGTCAGGAACGGCCGGCCCCCACACCTGAGGGCCTAAGACCCAAGGATTCAGCCAAGTGCAGATTGAAAATTCGATTTGGGGAAAAGTAATCGCGTACATACTGAAGGTACAGACTTTTTTCTTGTCATTATTCCCTAAACAATACAATCTTACACAGCATTTACACTGTTGAAGGACGTAATATAAAGATGCTTTGAAGTATATGTGTAGGGTGTTTGCAAATACTATTCCACTTTACGTAAGGGACTTGCCATCTCCACACTTTTGTCCCCCTGGAGGATGGAGGATCCCGGAAACAGCCCCCGGCCTTGGGTACGGGGGCGGAGGGAAAGGCTGACTTCCCAGTGAACTCACATGACTTGTTTCCAGAGACAAACCCTGGACTAGACGGAGCTCTCAGAAAGCCAGCTTTAACTTCACATCCTTTTCATTCAAGAAATCCCAATTCAACGCAAGCAACTAAGATGAGGTGAATCTGTTCTAAGTGAGCAGGAGGTCAGGTACCCGCGCATGCTGGAATCTCAGTAGCAGTCACCTGGTACTATTACTGAGCCAGGACCTCTCGGTCGGCATCCGCCCGTCTTCAGGGTAACGCCCGCGGTCTCTCTCAGGGCCTGCGAAGCCCTTCACCGACCGCCCTGCCGCCTCTCCTGCCGCCTCTCCCGCCGCAGTGCCGGTACTCCCCAGCACCACTCAGCTGCTACGCCCTGCGCTGCTCTTTCTCCCGCCTTTGCGTCTTGATTGGCGCTCTAGATGCGGTTCACCTGCACTGTGCTATTCCCCTGGCCCCTCCCACACAGCGCCTCCCTCCCTCCTTCTCCCTGGTGCCCTGCGTGTACTCTGGTCCTAACAATGATCACACTGCCGCCTTATGCTTCTGCCTCTGCTAGAGTCGGGCTCCCTAGGGACAAGGAAGAGCCACAGAGATACTCAGACAATCCTTTAACCTCCTGCCGCTCCGTCAGCCTCCCTCCCAGTGTGCTGTACGTGATGTCCCGCTCCACTGACCGGTTGGCACTGTCATCCAGGGTGCGTTCAAACCACTGCACGGATGCGGTCTGCAGCGGGTCCATGAGCAGGGTCATCAGGTGCCGGGCAAGGCTGCAGCAGCGCTCTGAGCGCATGGGGTTCCTCTTGTATGGCATCGCGCTGGAGCCTGCCCCCAAGACAGGGTGGGATGCAAAGGCGGAGAGACTTCAGAGACAGTGAGCACACAGGCAGCTGCGGATGAGCTGTCAGCGCACGGCCACAGGCCTCTCCAGCAGCTCCCCAGGTCACACTCACCAATCTGCTGTTTTTCAAAGGGTTCCTCCATTTCCTTGAGGTTGGCCAGGAGGCGTATGTCAGTGCAAATCTGGGGGAAGCGGGGGAGCAGGCATTGTCCCACACTCTTGGTGTGCGGGACAGTCAGGGACAGGGAGCAGGCATTGTCCCACACTCTTGGTGTGCGGGACAGTCAGGGACAGGGAGCAGGCTGCAGAAGGACATGAGCTCTCAGGGGCACTGCCGCTGGCTGTCCTCCCTCGGGGCATCTCACTCAGACCCGCGTTGCCCCTGAAGAGCTGGGATACAAGTTCCAGGAGCGTGGAACTGCCCGTGTGAACCACTGCAAAGACCCCAGGGAAAGACACTGGCAGGATTAATTTTAATATGGACATTTTGCAGTCTTTGGAGTAACTCTCAAGAGAATGTAAGAACGAGTCTGAACACACCTTAATTTAAGACCCCAAACTGTGAAAACGTGCGCAGTTACCCACTGAGAGACACAAACACAGAAGTGGGAGGCTGACTGAGTGGGCCTGTGGTACCCAAGCTCCACCCCTCACCTTGTGCACCGACGCCCCCAAGCTAGCCAGCACAGAGAGCACCTCAATGTCCACTTTTCGAGTATAGGTCTGACCCGTGATGATGAACGCCCTAGAATCAAACAGGAAAGGGGATCTACGGTAACTGTTTCAGGACACGGCTGAGCCACAGAGACAAGGACAACAGATAGCAACTGAAAGCTTGGTCTTCCTGGTACGGTAAAATCACAACAGGCCCAGAGGACCTGACTGGCAACTTGCTCTTAGAACAAACTGCCCTTCCACTGCTTTTCCTAATTCTCAGGACACTGTCCTGCCTCAAGAAGGAAACGGGAGCCAGCGTGCCCTTGCCTGGGACAAGGAGCCATGGTGGAGCCTGGTGGTCCTCGACGGAAACCCACTGGAGGGCCTCACCAAGAAACAACAACAAGGCATGGGTAAGGCTACGTCAAGAAATCAAAAGTGAACGGTTTCCTTTTTTTCTTAAAAATTGTAAAAAAACTAAAAAAAAAAAAAGGAACCCAGATGGAGAGAAAATAAGCCCCAGGCCAGAAATAGAAGGAAACAGGTAGAAGAATAGAAAAAGCCAAAAAGCCAAGGTCAAATCTGGAGGTCCACTGAGCAGACCTGTCATCACCTCAACAGGGAGGCCAACACTCTGCCCCTCACCCACCTCTTAAATCCCGCCTTTTCTGTCACCATCTTGTCAAGCTGCTCCACCTTGGAGAGAAAAGACACATCCCTACAGAAATCTAGGGGTCTAGTACAATATCCCAAGCTGCGATCCTGCCCAGCCCTCAGCCCTCTGCTGACCTCCTGCCAGTCCAAATACACCACCACCACCCCCATCCCAGGACCAACTTTCCCAACGTCCTGGAGGCCAGCTTGTATCTTAGGCTCCCGCCACTGAGTTTCTGTGCCCCAGGCCATTTTCATGATACCTTATGGTGATCTCCCTCAAAGAGCTGCAGGAAGCTGGCCTGGGTGCCCGTCGTGCCCTTCACGCCTCGGAAGCGCAGGCCATCTTGGACACGCTTCAAATTCTGGAGATCCATGCAGAGATCTTGAATCCAAAGACAGCAGCGTTTTCCAACTGTGGTCAGCTGAGCAGGCCTAAAACAGCCCAGTGGGAACACAGAAGTCTCAAACCCGGGGCCTTACAAGAAGCCCATTTAGTAATATAAGGGCAGATTCTACTTTGTTCAACATATCTTCAGACACTGGCAAGAAATATCACACAAGCTTCCCCTCCAACGGAGCTTACATTGTAGTATAAACAAGAAGAAAATAAATAAGGTAACTGTGGAGGGGCCGGCGCTATGGCACAGGGGGTTAAGTCACCACCTGCAGCACCAGCATCCCATAACGGTGCTGGTTTGAGTCCCAGCTGCTCCACTTCTGATGCAGCTCCCTGCTAATGCACCTGGGAAAGCAGCAGAAGACGGCCCAAGTGCTTGGGCCCCCGCATCCACATGAGAGACTCAGAAGAAGATCCTGGCTCCTGGTTTCAGCCTGGCCCAATCCCAGACATTGCGGCCATTTGGGAAGTGAACCAGTGGGTGGAAGACCTCTCTCTGCCTAATTTTGCCTTTCAAATAAATAAAATATTTAAAAAATAAAAAACAACAACCTATTGAGTCATTACATGCAAGATGAGCGCAGAGGAGAAGGCTGCTTGCCGGCAGTAAGGGACAAAGGCTCTCCTGTGTCAGGAGCTGCCCCGCTAGGGAGGAAGCCCCCGGACCTCTGAAGGCAGCAGACGCCTTTGTTCAGCCTGAAGTCCAAACCAATCCATGAAAGGTCTGTTTCTGAACAGAAAACATAACTATGAATAATAATATCCAAGTTCCGATGGATAACCTAGCCCATCCCAAATGGCATCTCTCTGCTTGGCTAATGACACTGACAGCCGGCAACCTCACGGCAGGGCCAGGACGTCCAGGCTTGGCATCTCACAAGCTACAGCACCCCTAGATTAATCGCATGGTGGTCTTCCTTCTCCATTCACAAGGACGGATTACTGGGGGAAGGGAAGCCAGAAGTCAGCTGGCCTGGCCTTGTTCACGGCAGCGTTGTTCCTGACAGCCCAGATGGCCATCAAGTGATGAGCGAGTGAGCAAAGTGTGGTGTGCACACACACGGGGATGCCACTCAGCTACGACAAGAAAGGAAGCTCTGACACACGCTGCCACCACACGGATGGACACTGAAACCAGACTGAGCAAAAAAGAAGCCAATCACAAAGTCACAACTGCACGATTCCATTTATATGAACTTCTGGAACATGCACATCCAGAGACAAAAAATATATCAGTGACTGGCAGGTGCACGGGAAGGAGGTAGGATGACTGCTAACGGGTATGGGATTTCTTTTTGGAGCGATGGAAATATTCTGAAATTACACAGTGGTAAAGACTGTCTGGCTCTGTGATGTACTAAAAAACCATCCAGCCACACATATTGTATGTGAATTATATCTCAGCAAAGCTGTATTACATGGATGGATGTGCAGAGGTGCTGCCTGCTAAACATGGCAGCCGAGAGCTCTCCTTCCACCACTCCCAGAGAAATGTTACAAATGGAGGACCTGCACGGTGGTCTCCTGCTTGCTGGATGCACAGCAAGCCAACCACCGACACAGTGCAGAAGAAAGCAAGGGTTCATCTGCAACAAGCACAGCCAGGGGTCAGGCAGCTAAGGCTCAATCCCAGCTTCCCTGAGGGGCCGGCTCTGTGGCGGAGCAGGTTAGGCCCCACCCGTGAGGCCAGCATCCGAGACCAGGCTGCTCCACTCCCAATTCAGCTCCCTGCTAATGAGCCTATGAGGGCGGCAGAAGATGGCCCGAGTGCTTGGACCCCTACACCCACGTGGGAGACCTAGAAGCAGCTCTGGACTTCTAACTTTGGCCTGGCCCAGGCCCAGCAGCTCTAGCTGTTGTGGCCCTTTGGGGAGTGAACCAGCAGGTGGAAGACCTCTCTTCTCTCTGTAACTCTTTCAAATAAATTAAAAAAAAAAAAAAAAAAGCAGGGGTTGAGTACTGCATGATCAGCTCGCTCGTGGCCCTCCCTTGACCGGCAGTAAGGGCCACTCTGCCATGGCGAAGGGCTCGAAGTAGACCAGGCACTATTTTGCTGTTTGATCAAGGCCCATGGGTTTCCTCAGAGCTTTCCGTACAGAGGCTGGCACTGAGACGTAACTTGACTCTGACCGACGGTCTCGGCTCCAGCGTTTCTGTCGCTCTTCCAATTCAGTGAGTTACTCTACAGAGAGGCACAGCAGGCCGAGGAAGAGATGCTGGGGCCGGATAAAGTCAACCGCGTCAGGGGGCAGAGACTGGATTCAGGAGCACAGGCTTGTGTGACACACCCTGAGTACTCGACACAGACGCAACACAGACGTCGGGCACGAGAGAAGCCGGGGGGCCGCATCTTCATCCAGCCAGGGTAAGCAGACTCACTTTCAACACTGGCTTCCCTTATCAGACTGCAGGCTCCTGTCCCGGCCAATCCAGCCCCACATCTCGTCCAGCACCCACTGATGTATCTGGGAAAGCAATGGATGATGGCACAGTGTGTGGGCCCTTACCACCACACAGGAGATGTGGACACAGCTCTGGCCTGGCCCAGCCTTGGCAGTTTGTTGTGGTCATTTCGGGGGTGAACCAGTGGATGGATCTTTCTGTCACTCTGCCTTTCAAATAAATAAATAACTGAATCTTGGGGCCAGCACCATAGTGTAGTGGGCTAAGCCTCCGCCTATGGCACCAGCATCGAATACGGGAATTGGTTCAGGTCCTGGCTGTTCCACTTCTGAGCCAGCTCCCTGATGGTGACCTGAGAAAGCAGTGGAAGTTGGCCTAAGTGCATGGGTCCCTGCACCAGCGTGGAAGATCCAGAAGAAACTCCTGGCTTCGGAGTGGCCCAGCTCCAGCCAGAGGCCATATGGGGAGTAAATCAATGGATGGAAGACTTTCTGTCTCTCCCTCTCTCTCTAACTCTGCCTCTCAAGTAAGTAGATAAATCTTTAAATAATTTTTTTTTTGACAGGCAGAGTGGACAGTGAGAGACAGAGAGAAAGGTCTTCCTTTACCGTTGGTTCACCCCACAATGGCCGCTGTAGCCGGCGCGCTGTAGCCGGCGCATCGCACTGATCCGAAGGCAGGAGCCAGGTGCTTCTCCTGGTCTCCCATGCAGGTGCAGGGCCCAAGCACTTGGGCCATCCTCCACTGCCTTTGTAGGCCACAGCAGAGAGCTGGACTGGAAGAAGAGCAACCGGGACAGAATCCAGTGCCCCGACCAGGACTAGAACCCGGTGCTGGCGCCGCAGGCGGAGGATTAGCCTATTGAGCCGCAGCACCGGCTAAATAGATATTTTTAAAAATAAAAATTATGGAAAAAAATTATCCTGTATCTCATAACTACAGTAATCAGTATTTATATTATGGAATTTTTTCTAATAAGAAGATTTAATTAAAAGGCAGAGTTACAGACAGAAGAAGAAAAAGAGAGACAGATACCTTCCACCTGCTGGCTCACTCCCCTAGGCTGAAGCCAGGAGCCTGGGACTCCCAAGCACTTGGTCATCTTCTTCTGCTTTCCCAGGCCATCAGCAGGGAGCTGGACGGGAAGTGGAGCAGCCATGATTTGAACCAGCGCCTTTATGGAACACCAGTGCCACAAGTGGCAGCTTAACGCACTACAAGCACAATGATGGCCCCTTTCATGGAATACTTTGATCCAATCGTTGTGCAATGTATAAGCTGTCTTTCCCCCATAACATTAACCTAAGCACATTTCAATGTTAAGTCTGTTTTTTCTTAAGAATGTATTTATTTATTTGAAAGGCAGTTACAAAGAGAGGAGAGACAGAGAAAGATCTTTCATCCACTGGTTCACTCCCCAAATGACTGTAATAGCCAGAACTGGGCCAATCCAAAGCCAGGAGCCAGGATCTTCTTCCAGGTCTCCCATGTAAGTGCAGGGGCCCAAGGAGTTTGGCCATCCTCAACTGCCGTCCTAGGCCACAGCAGACAGCTGGATCAGAAGTGGAGCAGCCGGGACAAGAACTGGTGCCCATATGGGATGCTGACACTGCAGCCAGTGGCTTTACTTGCTGCACCACAGTGCCAGCCCCGTTACTAAGTCTTAATGAGCATCATCTTAATGGTTACACATTATTCCAGCCAGTGGCTTTCTTAGACCCTATTTAAGTATTGCCTTATTGTCAGACATTTAAACTGTTTCCAATGCTTACTATCATAAATAAGACTGTAACAGACAATCTTGGGACAAGGTTGCTCTCATAATTCGGATTGCTTCCTTGGGTTAGATTCTCAAGAAGGGAATTACTACGTGAAGGTGTAGGGATATCACCAAGGCTCTTGGTACACACACGGATACCCAAGTAAACCATTGGGTAAGTAAACAGTACTCATCAGGCGAGGACTGGGTTCATGCCTCGTAAGCGTTCCAAGATACCTATCTAAATCATGCTGAGACTCTTCATCTCAAGTTCACTATGAAAATGGGGGAACTGAAGGAGTAATTCAAAGTCACACGCACAAAACAGCCCAGCTTCCACGGAAATGTGGAAATGTACTACTTACTGGAAATGTGTGAAACCTAAGGTGGGTAGATCGGCTCGTTCCTTAGCGAAGTCGGCAAGCCTAGAGATCACTCTGGCAAGCTAAAGAAAGACCGTGGGGTAGAAAGAGGGGGAATTCAGGTTGAGTTCTTTATGTAACTAGAAACCCGGAGACAAGTTTATATAAAATTAGGCCTCCAGCAGCCATATCTTTTCATCTCTGTATCCTAAAGTGCCGTGAAGAGTTCTGGCAATGCACTGAAAGCGGAGCCGCCTGAAATGTCATGAATTTTTAAGGTCACAGCAGACAAACAGGCAGAAATCATCGTCCTGACCCACATTCCAGCTACATGCCTCTGCCTGCCTTCATGTCAAAGACTCTGCTCTTCACTTACAGTGCCTTTTTTTTTTTAAGATTTATTTTGTTTCAAAGACACGGTTAGATAGAGAGGGAGAGACAGAGACAGAGATCTTGCATCTGCTGGTTCTCTCAACAAATGGCTGCAATAACTAGGGCTGGGCCAGACCGAAGCCAGGAGCCAGGAGCTTTATTTGGGTCTCCCTCGTGGGTTCAGGGGCCCAGGGACTTGGGCATCTTCCGCTGCTTTCCCAGGCACATTAGCAGGGAGCTAGATCGGAAGTAGAGCCGCCAGGACTCGACCCGGTGCTCATATGGGATGCTGGAGTTGTAGGCAGCAGTTCTACCCCCTACGCCACAATGCCGGCCCCTCAATTTACAGTGCTTTAACCAAAAAGAGACAATTAATTCTTCAGATGGGTTACAGGTTTGTTCACTGAAAAAATGATCTCATACGCATTCACACTGCTGGTTGGTGCCCACCTCCTACCACCGGGCGCTAAGTAGGAAACTCCGCCAGCCTTACCTTTGGCAGAAGCAGATCAAACGCATGTCTAAGGATGATCAGGTCCTGCAAAGGAACACGCAGTGGCCTTATACTCAACAGCTTTGCTCAAACAGAACTGTTACCACACTTTGTGGCCATCACCATCGGGGGTTCTCTCAGCTGGCAGCCTGTCTCACCATTAGCAACCCACCGTGCAAACCAGAAGATGCCAACAGAGGGTCTTTTCTGGTTACTGTTTTAGAAATACACTAACTTAGACAGCAATACCACTGGATCTATAACAAAACTTGCACTTGTTAAGCCCAACGTACATTCTATCTAAAATGAGTGAAAAATCTGCAAGTCCACAAGGTTTCTGTTTTCCCAGAGCGCCTGCGTCTCTGAGCTTTCCCACGGCACTCCCACCGGTCTCCTCCCCTTCTCGACCCTACCGTCGCTGGTGAAGAAAGGCAAGCCCGGAACATCAAGGCAAGCTTAGGAAACATAAAGATGCCAGAGGGAGCTAAGCGTTCACACAACCCCAACACATGCTTAAACGGGACAGTAATGGTTGAGCCCAATTACGCGCTGGCTATTTTTAGAAAGGATTTTCCAAGTTAGCGGACATTCTTCTCCCATTATCTGACTCACCAATCACACACTCTTTAATTATGTACTTTTTAGGACTAAAAGAAGTACTGACTTCTTGCTGGGCGGGAGGGTTATCTGGACCTTCATTCTCTGGTCCCACGGGCAGCCTGCGATCAGAAGCACAAGCACTGGCGCCCCCTGACTGGGCTGGGACCCTTTCTGCCACATAGTCCTGAGCCAGCTCCTCAGCCTCTCCTTAAACCCCCTCATCTGTAAGGACGGATTATTAAGCCACGCCGAGAAGCCTGTGTTTTCTAGGACTGCATGCACATTGAATCTGTAAGAGAGGCGGGCAGGAAGCTGGCGCGTGCAGGAATGCGGGCTGACCGCAGCAGAAACGAGAGAACTTCTTGGAGTGAAGGTGCACTCTCAAAATAGAGCGCGCAGATGGGCAAACAACTGCACTCAGTAAACAGCAACATTTAAAAATGCTCAGAAGAGTGTCCACCACCTAGTGAGCTCTCCGGGAAATGCCTGAGTATAAGACACATTTGCTAACTAGAGTTTTCATTTAACAATTACAGTGTAATCGTGCCTTAAACAGAAGTCACACGGTTTGGAAAGAGCAGCTCTTCGGAACACCCCCGAGGCCACCCAACTGCCAAGGCCGTGGCTTACGCCCAGCACAGACAGGATGAGCAGCACCTGCAGGTCTTATGTGATGGGCGTAACTGGGTGCTCAGACTGGAATAAAATCCCAAACAGAAAATTTTTCAGCAAAGACATTCCTCAAATTAAAGCTCTACGGAGTTACTTCCTAAAACTGGAAAAAAAATCAAATAAAATTTATCAATTCCTTATGAAGACTGAATCCTAAGTGTACAAAACATGGGTTCCTACTGTGTTATCTCCCACATAGCAGGAGGTGGCACCAAGATGAATGATGGGTGCAGCCTTCGGACAGCAGTGGCCGAACGTGTGCACGTGAGCCATGACGTCATGCCGCAGCCGTTTCTCTTCCTCAGCTGCCATCTTGAAGTCTATGTTGTCCAGGTTGGACTTCATCTCTTGGATTTGTTCATCTGTGATGGGCAAACCCAACGTCTGCACAATGGGAAAAACAAAATACAAAAGCCTCAGGATCAGTCGTTTGGAGGGACACCAACAAGAGTAGTTCCTGTGAGTATTTTTTGCCCTGCTTCCCAATCCTTCAACTAAAACATGGGGCAAGTTCGAAATACGGAGGTGGGGGAGGCACCTGCTAAGTGCATGATGAAAACTCACATTCTGAGCAAACTCTAATACATCAGACAACAACGTACGCTGACCTCCACTGACCCTGGGCCGTCCCCTCAGCGAGATCCTCCCCGACTTAATCCTCAGTGCCCACAGCGTGGCAGCTGGACGCTGGACGTGGGCGAATTTACTCAGGGAAATCAAAATTAAGTATTCTGAAATTCTTTTTTTTTTTAAAGATTTCTTTCTTTGACTTGAAAGGCAGAGTCACAGGGAGACAGCTTCTACCTGTTGAGTCACTCCCCACTGGCCACAACAGCTGGAGCTGGGCTGATCCAAAGCCAGGAGTCAGGAGCTTCTTCCAGGTCTCCCACATGGGTGCAGGGGCCCAAGCACTTGGGCCATGTTCTATTGCTTTCTCAGGTGCATGAGCAGGGAGCCGGATTGGAAGTGGAGCAGCTGGGACTTGATCCAGCGCCCATTTGGGAAGCCAGCACCCCAGGCACCAGTTTTACCCACTATGCCGCAGCACCAGCTCTGGATTCTGTAATTCTTAATTTGTTGTTCTGCCAACAAATTATGTACAGCAAATTCAGTACAGCTGACAGCAATTCTGGGAGCTACTGATGAGAAAATAAAGACATCAACACCTTACGCTGATCTGGGAGGATCCAGCACCTTAGAATAGTACTGTCCATGCAGACACAGCTTCTTTCCAGGTGTGCCTATTTAAATTTAAACTGGGGGCAGGCACTTGGCACAGCAGTTAAGATACCCACACGCCTGGGGTGGAATCCTATCTCCACTTCCAATTCCAGCTTCCTGCCAGTGTGCACCCTGGGAGGCTCAGGGCACCTGGTTCCTGCCACCCAGGGAAGACCTACGTACGTGGAGTTCTGGCCTTTGGGCTGCAGCCTGTCCCACTTGGGGTGTGAACCAGTGGATGAGAGATCTCTGTCTCTTACAAATAATCAAAATTTTGGAAAACTGAAGCGGATCCATTGAAATTTCAAAGTTCAGCTGCTAGACACTTCCCGTGTGGAAGAGCTGCCTGGGTCCTGTGCAGTCAGCAGACCCCAAACCTCAGGGCTCCTCCCAGAGCAAAACAGCAGGGGGCAGGTAGCCGGATAGCTTCCTCCA